ATATGTTATAAACATATTAAGTATACATGTATTATTAACTGGTCGACAAAGTAAGGTAAGGAAATGTCACGTTACTGAGATTAGGTCTCCTTCTTCTTCATTATCTCTCCTGTTCTCTCTCTCTCTCTCTCTCTCTCTCTCTCTCTCTCTCTCTCTCTCTCTCTCTCTCTCTCTCACACACACACACACACACACACACACACACACACACACACACACGCAAACAAACACTCACACTTACAAGCACCAGCTAAATACACACCTAAACACACACACGCACACACACAGACACAGACACAGACACAGACACAGACGCACAAACACACGCTCACACCCACGTATACACACACACGTTATTCACAGAGACGTGTTTCGTTGGACAGTATCCATAGCACCGTGGTATTTGCTGTATTGATCGCGTAAAATCCAGAGAAGAACGCTTCATCAATGCCGATTGTAACGTTTTAAGAGCCACATCCCAACGTTCCTAACAGCTAAAAGATTTACTTGGGAGCCGCTTCTTTCTTTTTTTAAACAGGAAAGAGTTTGTGTCAAGAAACGTACTGGTAAGGACATTCGACTGACGGTTCTTGACTGAGTGAGTGGTCTCAAATCCGCTTGGTTGATTGTACATGTTTAACAGTTCCACATCCTCTCTCCCCACAATATACATTTATTGTATAGCACCCAAACCGACATTTTAGGCTCGATCATTCAGGAGTCTGGCTGCTTTGTCCCTCCTCGTAATCCCAGCATAAGAGGTGCTTGATGCAGACTAGAAGCAGATAGATAGATAGATAGATAGATAGATAGATAGATAGATAGATAGATAGATAGATAGATAGATAGATAGATAGATAGATAGATAGATAGATAGATAGATAGATAGATAGATAGATAGATAGATAGATAGATAGATATGCACACATTAATCTATTTCCCACACCACCCAACCCCTGAAATAACTCCATGAATTGTCTGAAGGAAAAAGGGGGGAAAAATAAGTGAGTTCTTTGTAGATTCGATCTAGGACTTCTGGATTCCAGGCAAAGTGCTCTATCCGATACATGTCACCCTTTGCGTCCCCACCCCCTCCCTCCAGAAAGGGTAGAGGGGACTTTTTTTTGGGGGGGGGGGGGGGGCGAAGTGTGGCAGCTAGGAGGGGTTGGGGAGTACGTTGCGTGTCCTTTGATATAAATATTACCCACTTTACCGGTCCGTCGTGTTTCGGCTATTCTCATTTCTCAGAACATCGTTTTCGGGACGCTATGGAACTGCTGCTGATCGATTGAAATCTCCCCGCCGGTACCCAATGGAGACAGTCTGGGGGTGGACTGACGTTGTACATCGCTGACTATTGAGATGTACTCCCTTCCCTTCCTCAGGGTAGCCTGCCCCATGTCTGAGGCAGAGTTGATAAGGACAGTTACTAGTAACTACCACGCAGGGGCGAGTGGATTGGACGGTGCCTTTAGTACTACAACTGTAGGTCCTACTGTTTTACTTTCCTTCTGCTGTTGTTACGGCCTGTCTGTCATTCGTTTTCACTGCACTGAATAACTGTTATCGTGCCGATGTGCTTCTGTCTCCTTTCCTTTCTATCTAGCTTCCTGGCTATGCCATTATCTGTCTGCCTGTCTATTTTTTCTTTGCATTTAATGGACGTTATTGTATAGATGTGCTCCTCTTTACTCAAGGAAACGAGTAAAACGATTTTGTTATTTATCATTCTCCCTCTGGGTTTTCTCTGCCTCTTTCTCTCTGCCTCTCTCTCTCTCTCTCTCTCTCTCTCTCTCTCTCTCTCTCTCTCTCTCTCCCCCTCTCTCTCTCTGTATATATATATATATCTGAAGTCATGTTGATCTGCCTCTTTGTCTCTGTCCCTCTTTCTGTCCGTGTCCCTGTCCCTAACTTTGTCTCTGTCTGTTTCAGTCTGTCGGTCTGTCTGTTTGTCGATCTGTGTGTCTTACTGTCTGTCTGCCTTTCTGTCTGTTCGTCATCCACATCAGAAAACCTATGTATACGTACAAATACATACACTATACGTATACATTACGAAATATGCATGACTTAGTTTCTATGTGTATTCGTGTGTGCGTGCGTGCGTGTGCGTGTCTCTGTGTGTGTGTGTGTGTGTGTGTGTGTGTGTGTGTGTGTGTGTGTGTGTGTGTGTGTGTGTGTTTGTGTGTGTGTGTGTGTGTGTGTATTTATGTGCGTATGTAAGAATGCCGACAACAGGATAAGGGCATAAAGCAAAAGCAAACAAACTCTTACACTCGTTTGCTCACTCATTTTCACACATTCACACATTCACCCATTCACAAAATCTCTGTATGCCTCGTATCCCCAAGTCTCTCATTCTCATCAGCCCAGCACCCATTTGCACAAATGCGCTTCAATTTGCTAGCTTTAATCTAGCCAAAAATACTGAACTGTCCCCCTTTGCATATTTATCAAAGCAGCGACAAGCATATCACACAATTGAGGGGCTCTCAATCAT